GGATGGCTGACTAGTAATTCCTATCCCTTAAAAGAATTACGTAAGATGACTGCTAGGTTCCTTTTATGAAGAATATTCTTATGCTAAGTAGAATTTATCCTGTTATCAAAATACTAAACAGATTCCAACATAAAGAGGAGAATATCTTCCTAATCATTCTGGTCCATGAGCCTTTTTAACGCTTCAACCATGTTGCCTTAATTAATATACTTTTTCCCTGTGTACGCTTCACGATGACTTTCCACTGCGCATATCATGCAAAGGTTATCATTCTAGTGAGAATAAACATGACTGCGGGCGTGATAACTGAATTTTCATTGGTCTGAATCGTCAGTCATATCAGAGCGTCTGAAGCCTCTAGACTCAAAACCACCTCGCTTCTTGTTGCGGTCTGGGAAGGAAAAAAGCAAAAAGTATCCTTCAGTTTGTCCGTACATGCATTTTAATTCTTGGTTTGCAGTGAATCCCAAAAGAATAGGACGTTTGCACGTTAGGATCAAGTACTACAACTACCAGAATCCTTTGCACATTTTAAAATGTGCTTAAAAAGTTCAGACTAAGAAAAGATATGAGAGCGCGCGATTCTTCTTAACCTTGTATCCAGTCAACACTGCCAGCTTCACTTGCACTGTCCGGTGGTGGCCTGGTCCAGGGTCGACCTGCAGACAAGTCAGGACTGCCCGCACGTTGGAAGTTGGTTTCAGTCTATAAGATAAGAAAGACAAATATAGCACAACCTGCAGTGAAGTATTGTGAATGATGCTTTATTCAAGAAAAAAAGCATTACTACATGAATTAAATAAGGTCTACTTGGTTAGTTTACAAAGATTTTCGTAACTACCCGAGCAAAACAACTTTAAACCACTGAGTTTTTTCCCTTTCGTATAATTTAACTCAGACCGTATTCCTGAGCGGATACTCCAACCGGGACTACTTTACTAGACTATTATCATTAACCAATCATATTGCGACATTTAGTTCAGTTTTTTCAACCAGCCAATCAGATAGCACATCGATATAGTAAGAGCGTGAGAACGTGATAATTTGATTGGCTAACACTGTTTATCAGTTCAATCTCTCTAAATAGTTTACCGTTATCTGATTGGTCAGTTTTATTCAAGAGGTCCCGGTTAGTGTGTCCGCACAGTTAATTTGATTCCAGTAATTACGAAAATTTGTATAAGTATTACTAGGGTTAGGAACAGGGTTAGGATAGGGTGTGCTTCACAAGAAACTGTACCCAAAAACGAAAACCAAAAAAAAAAAAAAAAAACACACCGAGAAACAAAGTAGCTTATGGATGGATATCGGTGACCATGTCTGGAAGAGATCCCACATGGGTATACGAACTTGCCTCGTTATCAGAAGAGTATCCCCCGTATTGCCATCTACTCACAGGTTTTGAAAACAACCCATCATCACTGACGTCATCTGTAGAGGCTGATGGTGGTCGTCTGGGGCTTGGTGCTAGATCTGTTAGGAAAGTTGAATTCCTTGGCGAGAAAATAAACAAGAAAAATAAACATTTCAAAGGAAATTTATCTTCCGTTTTAGCTTGGGTATAGAGGTTTTACACCATCACGTGATGGCAGCCATGACAGGAGCCACAATATATAGTGTTTTTCTCTTTGGAAACTGAATTCTTTCTCACGTAGAATTAGATTAGACAATATTCAATACTTCCATTTCGAGTTCGCCTATGCTCAGGCCCCGTCCACACGTATCCGGAAATTTTTGGATCCGCAATTTTTTTTTTTGCGGATACGGGTTGCATCCACACGTGTCCGGAACATTTTGTATTCGTATCCGGAAATGTTCAAAAACGGTCTACAGAGTGGAAATTTTCGAATACGCTCCGAATACGGATACGTGTGGACGGTCGTATCCGCAAATTTTCGAATACGCTGACGTAAACACGATTTTGAGCATGCTCAATAAGAAAAACTTTCCGTCAAAGGGACTAGGCACTAGCGTGCATCAAGGCGGATCAAGAAATTGTGGAAAGTCGAAAACGATTCGAATATGCTGCGTGTGGACGCGAACATTTCCGTATCCGGGGAAAAAAAAAAACATACTTGTACATATGTTTGCCCTTGTCTGGCTGAGGGCTGGAGGTCTGCCACATTGGTATCCCTTTCTTTGTCGTTGCTTCGCCTACCGTAAAAAAGAAACGATATTTTTTGACAACGTGTAAAACCCTATTGCTAGCTTTCACTCAGCTGACAAAAGTCTTTGAATCTCATTATCTGCTCCAAAATGGTGGTCAACACTGACCACCATGTGCTGTCAGTCAGAAAGAATTCAATTGAAAACTTGTGATTCAGCTGGTGAACATTCCGCACTAGACAGGAAATGATGTCTAGTGAAACCCAGCATACAAATAAATGTTCTGAGGCAGGGAAGCTGCAACAGCCAAGGTCAATTACTGCGGACCCTTTTTCAAAGAATAAAGTCAATGTCTTGAGATTACATTTTGGAGCAGCAATTTAAAAGATTATGAGACAACGGACAGAATTACTTTGACATTCCACTTGTCACTTTAACAAATCGAAGTCAGTTTTCTATGGGTCTGTACTGTACGAACATGAAATGACGTCAAAAATGATCCAAACTCAAGTGGAACCACGAGCGCGGTGACGGATGTCGTAAGCACAAGCAGGTCTTTGTCTAGCCTCTAACCGACTATGGTTCTAAGCCAATCAGCGCGCGAGAAATTTCCAAGTTATGGTAAAAAACCAGTTGCTTTACACTCAAGAGAAAGCATCGAAAAATACTTCCCTCTAATATGGAAAAGGAAAAGCTCAACAATGAAATCCCGTCTTTGATTCCCAGGATGATTACGCAATACTTTTTACTTTCTTACTTACTTTCAGAATCAAAACCTGAAGGCCACGTGATGCGGCGGGGTCCATCAGTCTACAGACACAACAAACACTTTAATGATTAATTGATAAATAAATAATCAATTTAAAAATCAATAAAAATATCTCACTATTTTTTTCAAAAGGCATTACCACGCTTTCTGCTTGAGAAACACTTTCGAAGTCTTCATCACCAGCTGCATGAAGAATAGAAGAAGTTTACTATATATGGCAATATTTACTAGTAGGTCATGTGATCCTCTCCCAAATCACAAGGCAACAACATTACATCGCATTGGGATCTGACTGGTTATCACTGATTAGGTTTTTTACATGGAGGGACAACAGACAACCTGGAGATGAACCCCTCGAATAAACACAAAGAAGAGACCTAACAAATTCTGCTCACATGTGATGCCGGGTGCAAGAATCAAACCCTGGAGATGACAGGTGAGTGAACTACTGTTACGCTACTCTCGATTCCCTGCTTTAGATCGGCGGACTTATTGAAATTAGAGGTATCAACAGATTGGTAGGGAGGGCGTGCTTTATGAGAGCACACAGCACGCTGGCATCGTTTAAATTTTAAAAAAGAAATAAAAAACTTGCTAGTGTCGAGAAGCACTCTGCCAATCCCCGCGTGCTTTATAACTGCACACAGCCCGCGCGAGCATTTTCATTTCTTCATTCCACCCCCCCCCCCCCACACATTTTTATTTCTATTTTAAAAAAAGAAAAAAAAAACTCACCACTATTAAAGGAAGTGCTTCCAGCTTTCCATGTTGAAAAACAAAGAGGAGAAAATAGATAAATGAGAGCGAAAACTGGTTCTTACAAGAGACTACCACTAAGCATTGTAAGATATAAAATATACAACAAGGAGAGGAGAAAAAAGATCAATAAGAACGAAAACTGGTTCTTACAGGAGACTACCACTAAGCATTGTAAGATATAAAATATACAACAAAGAGAGGAGAAAAAAGATAAATAAGAACGAAAACTAGTTCTTACAGGAGACTACCACTAAGCATTGTAAGATATAAAATATACAACAAAGAGAGGAGAAAAAAGATCAAGAACGAAAACTGGTTCTTACAAGAGACTACCACTAAGCATTGTAAGATATAAAATATACAACAAGTCGAATGTATGATTGATTATTAATCATTACCATCTGATCTTTGGTCACTTTGAAGCCCAGATATTATCCTAAAGATAACAAAAATAACAACCAACATAAGTGGATTAATGTAGAGCTAGAAGAACACAAAACCCAGAGGAGATAGGCAAATGAACTACTAACAAACTCAGGGGCGGATAAAGGATTGTAAAAAGGGGGCCGGGGGGGGGGGGATGGGGGGTACTCTTGCCCATTTAGGATAGGGATGTGCCGCTGAGCCCTCTGAACCCCGAACCTGTTCCAGAGTAAAATCACTGAAAATCATACCCTGTTCCGGTATTGCGAAAATAGATACCCTGTTCCAGAGAGGAGAGAGCGTGATTTCATATACCCTGTTCCAGAGTAGAATCGCTGAAAACCATACCTTGTACCCATATAGTGAATATAGGGGAGTACCCCCCTCCCCCCGGGAAAGGGAGGTGGATAATTTTTAAAACCTTCTTTTGAGCCTTCTTTTTGTAATACGAAAGAAAAAAATGATTAAATCATAACATGTACATGTAGTGTACTGCATACTTGTGAATGCACTGGAGACATGAACTGTAGGCTCTTAAGACAGCCAAATTTTCAAAACTAATCGAATGAATCAGATGGTTCAGTGTTGTTGATTCTTGACATATTTTGTAATTAAATGCAATCATATTCCTTCTTCTATTTTCCTAAAAATATTCACTTTTACTCTAAATAGGGGGGTGGAAATCCACCCAATCCATCACTCCCCTGTATCCACCCCTGCAACTACCCTTGATTATTCTATACAGGGAAAATAACCATTATTTATAGAGAACTTCTGAACATTCTGATCTAAAAGAATACACTACCTTGCACATCTTGCACAGATGCTGACTTTCACTGCTTCTTGGCTCAAACTTCCCATTCTTGAAGACTGTTGCAAAAGAGTATAAAATATATTATATACTTTCCTAAAGTAGAAAATTAGGAGACTAAGAACTGTTGATATTAGTCCAAGGCTTTCAGTTTTATATGCATAGGAAACTAAAGCCCTCCTCGGGCACTGTGAGCTAGCAATAAATATTTCTGGTCACTACAGACATTTAAAAATTGCTGAATACTGCATACCGCATGCTAAATATTGGATACTGCATACGCAGAGAATATGAAGTAAGAAAAGGAATCCCTGCACCCCATCATGAGCACTCTTTGATGCTATTTTTAGAAACTTTGATGCTATTTTTAGAATCATTTATTTGATCGTTTTTTTTTCTTCTGCTCATGCATACTATGCTTGCTCTACCCTGTTTGCTTATGCTTTCTTGTGTTTCTCAAAAAAAAAACATGAGCAAAAAGTGTAGAGTGCACACATTATATGAGTGTAGAAAAATAAATAATGGAAAATGTGATTCTAAAGATAGCATCATAAGGTGCTTATGATGGTTGCGAGTGTGAATAACAGAGATTCCTCCTCTTACTTCATTTTCTCTTGTGCATACTGAATACTGAATAATGTATTCCAAGACCAAAGGGCATTGTTGGTCTCGTTAATTTGAAATAAAAAGTAAAAAATACAGTGATCTGCTCTCTATATGTAGCGCTAGTATATTGTTTTGGATGGAATGCACTAAAAACGAAATATATTCATTTTACTTTTGGCAAATATATCATTTAAGACCAAAAATGCATTTGGGTCTTGGAATATACTATTTAGTATATAGTTAGTAGTATTCAGCATGCAGTATTCATATTTCAGCATGGATATCAAATGCAATCCTCATGGACATCCTCATCATCAACATCAGCAGCATCATCATCATCAATTCATCATCAATTACTATTTAATTAAAGATATTTAAACCAACTTCCAAACATTTTTAGCTTTCTAGTTATTTTTGGAAATTGGTACCCCTTAATCTGTTTAAACATAAAATAATGTAAATTTGAACAAACATTGTAATAACAGGTGAAAATAAAGTTCTTCTTCATCAACATCATCACAAATATCTTCATAAGCAGTTGTCTGCCAAAGGTTCATGATTTTAGGTTTTACCTTCAAAAGCCTGGCTCCTGTTTTACTGGGGTTTGCAACGCCTTCAGATTCCAGCTCGTTGAAGCTCTCTGAAATAAAATAATAACAAAAATAATAAAATCTAATGCAATTGAATTCAAACAATAGGTTTTGCTCATTGGCAATCAATTTGGCACATGTGATATTCAACAAATGAGATGGGCCTGTTAAGATTATCGTCTTTAGTACCTAGGATTTCTGTTGCATCATCCATATCATCATCGGTGAGCTTGCTGTGGTGATCTGACTGGCAGTTTCCTGTGGTGTTTTGTAGTAGGGACTGTAAATGTTTGCGATGTTCTTCTGCAGCACTTTTAGCTTTGTTCCTGTTTGACCTTAAAGAACTTCAAAACAAAACAGAAGTTATTCATTTAAGGTGGAATGGCAAAATGTCAAAACCACACCTAGTACTAGAAAAAAAAGGGGCTTGCAAATAAGGGATATAACTAGACAAAGTCATGTTGTTATACAGTTGTCTGACCAGAAAAGGATAAAATACTCTAGGGATAACACAGTCTAAAAATAATGGTAAAAAATAATTCTGAAATTGGCTTAATACTAGCTGGGAGTACTTTAAACGTAGTCAGTGCATTTTCTTACCTGTAACTAGACATTACTGAGTTTCCTTCACTACTGTCTCCTGCTGTTTTCACATCTCTTGGTAATCTAAACTCTTCACCTTCTAGTCCATCATCTGTCATCACATCTGAAGGCTCAAGGGTCTTTCTCTTGACATCAAGTGGATATCCCAAACCCCTTTTGTCCAAGCTAGAATCCTGGAGAAACAATATATCAAGCATAAATATATAGTTCTAAATGTTCGTTTGGACACCCCGTTGAGCTCACAGCAGCACTGCTGTACTTGCAATTCTGATTAGCAATAACAAGTTTGAAGCCATATGCATTTCAATATGTTACTTGTTATTGGTTAACTAAGAATTGACTACTTATAGTATGATAGCATAATAATTGTATACACCAATTTCAAAAAGGACAATAGGCAAGACAGGGCAGAAAAATGTAGCACATGCTCACTTCAATATAAATCCATGAGACAATCCTTCATAGGTTTTTTCGTGCCAATTTTGCAGTTGACAGGCAATAGGTGATAAGCGATAGCCAAAGGGTGATAGGAGATAGGTCATCTCAAGAACCAAGAATAGCTGGAATAATTTGTGTTTCTKCTTCTTCTTCTCGTCAAGAGTATGGACCTTAGTGCTGAGACTGATTCAATGTTCTTTGTATTCAACAAAACCATTTCCATGTCGCAATAAGCTTTTTTTTTTAAATAGGTGTATAACTGATAAAGAGTCACTTGTCCTATCTTATTTTTTCCTTTTATGACAGTTTTGTTTTGTTTTGGTGCTCTTTTGTTTATCAGATTTAAATGTTCCTTCCTCAGGACTGTCATGCCTGCCATCACGTGGTGCAAAGCCTCTATAATATCATATAGCAGGGCCATAGCCACAGAATGGTTGGTCTGGCTTGAACAAGACCACTTTTTTGTCAGAACCATTTTTTTTCCCCCTAGAAAGGGGAGATTAAAGAAAGTGTTTTCCTTTCTTAACACTTGACCATTTTTATCATACAGTGCAAATTGAAAACCGTTGGCACCTAGAAATTTTCCAGGAATTTTCAATTGCTCTTTGACCAATCAGAATTGACTTTCTAACCACAAGATAACGGAAAGATAACACTAACTCTTCTGATTGGTTAAATAACATTCTTGAATATTTCTAGGTGCCCATGGTTTTTCGATTTGCACTGTAAAATTGGACATGATTGGCTGAATGGTGGCTACATTTACTTACAAAATCTTGGCTGTCTTCCCAAGACTGTGCTGCAAGACAAAACAACACAGAAACATTTGTAAATGACAAATCTTTTCCATTTAGATTTTGCGATGAATTGAATAAAAAGAAAGACTTGATAAAAGAAACTGAGTAATGCAGTGGATAAATGACAGGCTTTTGTTACCTCCATGGTATTCCTTTGCTTTAGTCTCTTGGCTTTTTGCCATTTTGTTTTGAAGTTCAAACATCTCATCAAAACCATGAGAAGACAGTTTAGTTTTGGAATTCCAAGGTACTTTCTCATTGGTCTTTTGTGTCTTGAAACCTTTGAAAGTGGTAACAAGGCTAGATTAGAAATTACTTCTCACATGTTTTTAAAGCTTTTATTGGCCTTTTAATGCAAGAAAATGATATTACTTGTTGGCAGTTGTCAATTATTGCCCTTTTAATAACAGATTTGGTTTTGGGTTCCCTGTGTTAAGAGATTCAGTTTTGTGTCCCTGTTCTAGTGCCCTCTAGATACTGTTCTGTAACACAGGGAACCCAAAAGCAAATGTTACTCTTCTGTGCATTTTAAAGGAAAACCGAAGGTTGCCTGTAGAGGAAGCTAAGATTGATCCTGACCTGAGGGACTTGATCACGGCAGTGACCAATGCCATACTGTACATTATCTACCCCCTGTCAGCATGATGGTATTGCTAAAATAGTATAGTTACCTTGTCTTGTGTTTTCTTTATTAGAGTGAGCATGATCCTCTCCAGGCTTGACTTTCTTACTACCTGTGAGCCATGGCCGATTGTATTCTCTGGTGGCCTTGCTTGCACTTACAGGATGTCCATGATGTGTATCAGAGAATGAGTCTGGAGCTGCCCATGACTTTGCCAATGCACTTCTTCTTGAACCTTTTATGATAATGAAGAACATATAATTATACAAGAACAATTGAGTCAGGAAAGTGCAATGAGGTCCTTCTCAAAAATCACTTTATGAAAAAGTTAGCTCAAAAAAAGATTAATTTTATTATTTGATTAACTTTAACTTCCATAGGCTAAGTTTTTACATTTAAGACCACGTTTCATTCCCTAGATTAAAATTTCTAGAGCTCAAAAATTTTTTGGGGTCCATGACACATCTGATGTGAACACAAATCACATCTCTTATAAATTTTTTTGTTTTCTAAAACACATGAATATGGATACAACTCAAACAAAGAATCATATTCTCGAGAAAATGACATGTGGTGTGAAATGGGAAAACATTTAGGCAAGGTAAATAGGTCTGTTGTACCTATGACCTTCCACATAAGATATAGTTGTGCTATAACCACTAAAATTATAGAGAGGCTTGGCATGAACGAACAGTCATTTAGTAAAACAAAGGACAGCAGATTTGAGATTCTGGTAGCATGGATATCGACCATTTGAATTCAATGTGCCATGCCCACCATCCCTAGCCGAACACAGCCCCAGCTCAATCCTTAAGGGAACCAGACTGACGGCATATGAGAAGACTTTCAAGTCTACACTATCACCTGATGACGACTAGCAGTAGCAGTCGAAATGTCATCCCAACTGCCACAATTGTGAGACAAATGAATAAGACAGTATATTATTAATCTTTGATTTATGTCCACAATGAATAATCTTTTCCATTTTATAGAAATTTAATATTTGATGTTTTATATTAAAATTTCCACTTACTTGAATCATCAAAAGAATGTCTTGTCATAGTTTTTCCTGTCAAACCAATACTACTGGACACTGGTGACTTTAGCTTACTGCCTGATGGTGGACGACTGCGAGGAATCTGTTTGTAAGAAAGGAAAGAGAAAGCTAAATTAGATAGAACAAAAAATACATAACTCAGTGGTAAATGTCTTTTGGAATGCACATCTTATGCCGTTAGAATTACGTACCAAGTGATAATTCTTTTGTGTACCAGTGAGAATGAAAACAGTTTTACAGTGATTGGTTTGTTTCTTTAGTGAGTGGCCATAACACTTGTTGCAGTCCGTAGAAGGAAAGATCATTCTCATCAAAAAACTCCAATTTGAATGGATCAACTAAGTGTATGCAATCCTGGCAATAGTCCAAGTAAAGTTATGAATTTAATAGGGAGCACTTTATTGTTTCTGCTCATCTGGTCCGCTTCCAAGTCTATTCATTCTCTATCAAACACTACTGCAAATGCTTGCTACTCACACATGATCACACGGTACATGAAAATCTCATCAGGTGATACATACTGTAAGTCTACTGCCGTGAGACGTATATTAGGTGGAATTGTTTTACCATTCTAGTGGTCAGCTATAGTACTTAAAATCAAAACCATTTAAGTTAACGACAAATAAGGTGTCTTACACTGTGTGTAATATCCTCTGGGTGAAGTTTCTTTAAGGTTTTTATCAAGAATGGAATGGGTTGATCTGGCTTATCTTTGATCAGCTTGGCCATTAGATCCTGGATTAAGCACAAGGAATACCACATTAACCATTTGAAAGCTAACATTAAGGAAACAATATTAATTTATTTCTTTGGGGTGGTTAAAAAACACCTTAGGCTGCATTCACAATGTATTTGGGGGGGGGGGGGGGGGGGGGGGGGGGGCAATTGTGCATTCCCCACCATTTTTCTGATAAAAATTTGCCCATCCCCCCTTTTTCCTAACGAATTTTTCCAGATCCCCCCTCGATTTCACCTGCCCCACCCCCCTCTGCTATACATTATGAATGCAGCCTTATTGGTAGCCACCTTTCACATTAACCAACCAACAAAACACCATTTTTTCATCAAAACCCTGAATTAACCTCAGTATACATGTAACTCAGGGCACATGCAGCTCATTGAAATCACCTGTGGGCCATTTGCACTAATTCTTTGGGTGAGACCTCATGTTTCCCTTAAGATATCAATAACAATAAAACAGCTGCCATGTTGGTTTATCTAACTACAGTAGATGAGGAATGCTTTGCTAGTAGCAATCAACATGGTGACTATGATGTACTGTAACATCAGGGCTTATAAAATAATGTCAGAATATGGGACAATGTCCGGCCAGAACTGGGACTTCTCAGGTCAAATCTTAACCTTACTGAGCTAAAACTCATTTGGTCTGTGATCATGACCAGCAACAGATAGGCTGTTATTTGAAGCCCTTCAAACATGCACCCCAAGAATTATAGGTAATATGACCAAATCAGCATTAAATGAGTCAGCATTATGTGTCAAAATGAACTCGAGACAATGGAAAGAGCATCTTGTTATTAGTAAAAAAGCAATGCTTCAGGTCATGAGGAGTGGAAAATGGCAATAAATAAGCTTATACAAATATTCAATGTTGTATTTAATGCCATTCCTCCTGTCTCATTATCATGAGTTGAAACTTTACCATCTTGTCAATATCAAGGTACTCTTTCAATTTCTGAAGTTCGTTTTGTCAAAAACTGCTTCGATTGAGGAGAGTGATTTGGGTCACGTGAGCTATTTGCTGCAAATTGCTTTATTCTCGGATAAATTTGAATATAATTAACATAACGTAAGCTTTAACTTTAAACTTTTTTTATCTCTCAATGCAGAATATCGAAAGAGATCTTTCTTCATTCTCACTAAAAACGATTAAAATAACAGCCAAATTGGCCAAGATCATAGGACCATAGGAAACCTGTTCCCTAGTTCCGTCGTGTGAGAACGAACACCATAACAACAGGAACCAAACAATTGAGAATTCCAAATCGCGTACTGTACCTCAAACAGAGGACCGATCCGATGATGATCAAGGTAGCCTTGTACCTTCTTCGCCGCCATACTGTATTGTAGCGAGATAAGCGTCAAATAGTGCTTTAGATTAAATAAAATGAAGAAAATAAGTTTCCTTAATAAATAACAACATTCGCATTCGCCGCCATTTTGATTGGAAGAATTTATCCAGAGTGCACTGCGGGCCTTGACTTCGTACCCAGACTCCACGTACTATCACAGGGAGCCCAATTGACATAAAAGTGAGGTAAAAATAAAAACGGAAAAAAAGACTTTAATTAAATGTCTTGGCATTTAAAATCAAGATGGTGTCCTTCATAAGACAAACGAGAGCAAAAAATGATCCAAAGTGAAGTTCAATCTTTGACTTTTGTTCAAATTGGGCTTCCTGTGGTACTATCAAAGATATCAATTACTTTTTTAATGTTTACGATATATATATATATTAAATTATTATTATATTATTATAATATAATGTTATCATGAACCTGCAACTGCCATTATGTCTATTTATTTTTGTTTTTGAATGTATTTTAAATTTTTGTCTTTCTAGGGACCTACTCCCATAAATACATTTGGGCCCCTGTTAATAAGGGACCGTAATGGTGGACGAGGAGCAAGTCTGCTTGTGATTCACGTCTTCTTGTTCAAACTATCGTATTTTAAACTTGAAATACGACAAAAATGCTTTCTTTACGGAGAGCAGCAAGCATCTTTACAAGAAGAGGTCGCATGGTAGCTCTTAGAGCAGGTTTCTGTCAGGCACGTAATTTTGTTCAAAGGAAACCATCCCTGACATGGAGTCCAAGGTAACGTTGCACAATTGAACCACTTCAATATCTTATTCCATTATAATAATACCATAATGTATTCTAAAACCCACAGCAGTATTCTATATAAGTATATATTGTGTCGAAGTATATTATGGTAACTGTGCCTTGGTCTAATTTGCAGTAAAAGTCTCAACGTTACGAGATGTATATTACCAACAATTTCCAGTTCTCGACTGTTCAGCTCTAATGGTAAGAGAAACCTTGTCACTCTTAAATACGGACATTATGAGGATTTTCCCATAACTAGTCTCATAGTGCATGGAATATTTCACCTTCAAAGGGATATTGGAGTCTCACCATTATGTACAGACTTGTGTCTGGGGTACTCCCTTTGTCCAAGTGGTAAGGGTGATTGGCAGTCTGTTTTGAAAATGACTCCTAAAAAGTATGCATAAATTAATAGCAGTGAAATTAATAAAGCCATATTAATATCAGCCTCTTCAAGGTATGACGTTATTAATGATTAACCTGGAAACAGATCTTTCTTTAGTTCTTTTCTGTTTGTTCAATAAAGAAAATTAATAACACAGGGTTCGTGCTACTCCTTGAAAACTCCTTGAATTTAATTCACGTTTTCAAGGGCACTTGAAAAGCTCTTGAATTTTACGATTTTAGCGAAACTCCTCGAAAATAGATCTAGTAAGAAAGATTGGAAAATCTGAAAGTCGGCCATGTGCAACCACCATGTAAAACCTTGGCATATTTTAATAGCTGAACGTACATGCACTCCTTGAAAATTCATTTTTGGGTTCTTGAATACTCCTTGAATAGTCCTTGAATTTTAAGTGTTGACCCTATAAGGTACGGATTTATGTTATGTAATTGACTAAAATGTTCACACAGGAAACATTTTCAATCCTAAGCCGCCCATCACCCCTACCTCTTGGACAAAAGATTACCCCCTGGGGTTTGATGGTAAAGTAGAGCGACTATTATATGCAATTGATTATGAGGTGAAGGGGATAATGTCAACAAATTCACTGCATGCCTACCTCCATCCCAAAGGCTGTACTCACAATATGTAATGATGCTATAACATTACTTGTATGTATGAATAACACAGGTCTACCACCACATACCAAGGTACCCCTCCCTGCCCTATCCCCAACCATGGAATCAGGTTCTATTGTAAGCTGGGAGAAGGCTGAAGGCGATGAGCTAGCAGAAGGGGACCTTATGGCACAAATTGAAACAGACAAAGCAACAATGGAGTTTGAAACGCCCGAAGAAGGTTACTTGGCCAAGATATTGGTCCCGGCTGGCTCTAAGGAAGTCCCCATTGGAAAGCTGCTTTGTATTATTGTGGCAAATCAAGAAGATGTAACAAAGTTTGCTGACTATGTGCCTGAAGAAGACAAAACAGCATCACCCAAACCTGGAGTGAGTATCTGGTCATGCTACAACTGTAGTTGTTAAATGGGCACATGTGGCAACTATCAAATAGTTGCATACATTCCATGAAATAGCACAAAAACTAAATAGCACTAAACACATCTATTTCTTTTATTTTCACTTGTTTTATTGGTGCTATTTTGTACTAATGAGGCTGTGTTCATAATGTTTGGCAGAGGAGGGTAGGGGACAGGTGAAATTGGAAATTGAGGGGGGATCAAGAACATTTTGGTAGGAAAAAGGGGGATAGGCAAATTTTTATCAGACAAATGAGGGGGGGATGCACAATTTCTGGAATTTTTTTGGGGATCGTATTTTTTGGCATGACTTTAAGGGGGGTGTTAAGAATTATTCTGGGCATTTCAAATTTTCACCTGCCCCCATGCCATACATTATGAACGCAGCCTTAGTACTATTTCAAGGATATACGTTCACTCTATTAGAAATAAATAATTGATAGAAAGAAACATTTGCTTTACAAGTATACTGTAATATCTCATTGAGTTTCCTTCTGTCATTAAATATAAGAAATAGACCACTAGTAGCAATAGCCAATCAGAATGCACTATTTGCAATAATTAACTATAGTTTGGTTTTACTCAGGCATCCCAGACCTCCTATATATCTTATATTTCCTATAATTTTTATAGGATCCTATAAAGAGCCTATATTTAAAGAAAACCTCCTATTCCTATAAATAGGATGACTGCTGAGTGATACATTTACATTTTACACTGTTTAGCATATTGGGCATTTTTTTTTTTTGGTTCTGTCTTTTTTATGGCTTATTTGGTTCTGCAAATAAATCATTGCCTGTGCACCCTCCCTGCAAGATCCCTGGTTACGCCACTGAAAAGCTATTTTAGCTCCTATAATGTGCATATATTTTTGGGAAAAAATCCTATATTTTCCTATATTTAGAACTTGCACAGCCTATATTTCCTATCAAATTTGTCTAAAAAGTGGCTGGGATGCCTGTAATTTACTACAATAGTTCATATACACAGACGTTTTAGAAAATATTTGATGTTACATCATTTGCATCTAGGCGTAAAAGCCAGACTGTCATCAAAACATGTTCTAACTGGCTTCTGATACTTGTATGTTTGTTGGTTAAAAGTCAAGGTTTGTCAATTTCAAAGAAGAAACTTAGCCGGCAAACATAACATAAGTTTCAGGAGCCAGCTAGTTAACACATGTTTTGATGTCTGGTGTTCTTGCCAAAATGCAACAACGGTATCTATAATGCAGGTTGTCATAGATACCATCATGTTTCTTGGACTTGGTATCATCACACATGATTAGAGTTTGACGTTTCTTTGCCAAGGTTCATATTGTTCATAAGTTAGGTGTACCCTGACTTAGATAAGCCCAGAGGTCATTTCAGGGTTCCATAGGATCTTTTAATTCATTTTTTAAATAATAACATTCAAAGGAATTTATTTTATAGTACCATTCAATTGTAGACAATAATTGCTATACTATTAGTGTATAGAGCCTCTGTATGATAGATGAAATGTTTATTTTAGGAGGCACCAGTAGCAGAAGCCCCTTCTTCATCCCCTACTCCATCAGCCACACCCACACCCTCTCAACCAACACCTACCCCTGCACAGCCAGCTTCACCTGTTACAAGAGGTGCAGGAGATAGAGTTTTGGCCAGCCCCCTAGCTAAAAGATTAGCTCAAGAACAAGGAATTGATCTCTCTGTAAGTATTAAGACCATGAAATCCAATAATAGATTAGACCATATACTTTGTTTATATCTCTGGAAAATGAGAGAATGGTGCTAATAAATGTATCTAAACAAGGTAATTGTCTTTACCCATGAAAAGCACTCTTGGGCACTGACAAATGACCCAATTAATGGGTCAATTAATTCGTATGTCAACAATGTTGGGACCATTTGTTTGTCAACAATGTTGGGATGTGATTTCTGATTTTGGATGAAGGTTTACAGTAGTTTGTTCTTTATGCTGGTTTTTCACCCCACAACAACATGCCAATATTTTATTAACAAATTGTGGCTAAAAGTTGTGCTAAATGTTGGGCTGTTTTTTCAGAGCCCTTAAGTCATTGAAGTACATTCATCTAGTCTAACATTGATCATACTGCAGTCCTCGATATTCTGTGAACTTGGACATTTCAACGGCTTGTTTTGAAATTGGTTTTTGCTACCCTTAATCGAGAAATTATCAGTCGGTTCTATTTATGTTATTTTATTTTGACTGGCCGCAGTGAAAAACCAAATTCCAAAGGGCAACTCGAGAGTGCCGAATTTGCAGGATGTTAAGAAATGCAATACCTAATATATATGGTAATTGTTTTGACAGGGTATACAAGGATCAGGTCCTGACGGTAGAGTAAGAGCAGGTGATGTCAAGAATGCAGCATCAGCAACTCCTACGGCAGCTGCTCCACCAGCACCTCCAGCAATGCCAGGTTTGTGTTTTTGAAGTTTTATGCAACTACTGTAACCGGGGCCACTTAGACAGTTAGACAAGAGAACCATTAAAATGTAGAATGAAAACAATGCATTCCAGCTTTGGGTATTGGAGCCAATCAGAAACCTAGACTGCACAAGAATGGTAATTTGACCCAGATGCAACGTGTAAACAACTAGACAGTTGTTGTCATTTTCGCTTGGAAATGAAAAAGATATCTTTGGTGGCTATTGTTTTCTAGCTTTCTGATTGGCTCCACTACCCAAAGTTGGAATGTATTGTTTTTTATTCTACAATTTGATTGGTTCTTGCTGTCTAAGTGGCACCTTTAAGGACACTTGATGTGAATCAAAGTTTCTATGAAATATGAGGTCCGGGTTCAACACCCAGCTGAGACTGGATCAAAATAAAATAATATGTGAGTTGAGTTTGTTTGATGTGTTGTTCTCTCCCTCGCCATGAGGGTTTATTTCTCCTGGTTCTCTGCTTTCCTCCCTCCGTAAAAATCAATATGTGAGTTGAGTATAGTACAGTACCGCCTGAAATCATTGCAGCATGCGAACGCGTTTGTTTCGCGTCTTTACCGCGTGCGGTGAACGCAAACTGTACGCGGAATGGACGCGAATGGACGCAGTCAATACGCTCTTTCGTTCTTACTGCGGTTTATAGAACGTAGCATTTACAGTACATGTGCCGAGTACATTTGCAGTGAAAGTGCCCCAAAAACTAGACATCACTTTTTAATCAAATGAGCAGCATTTTCTGAAAAACGTAGCATAATCATCGACC